ACAGTTCTGGGCCTGCCCAGAGTGGTAGACCCCTCCAGCACCACCTGCAGGGTGCACGTGGCTTTAGCAAATAGTTCTAGGCCCACCCAGCTTGGGTGGCTGGAGCGGGGAACTCCTACCCTGGCCCCTGTGGGGTATGGGTGTCTCTAGCAAGCTGTTTTGGGTCTACCTAGAATGAAGGACTCCTCCACCATAGCCCACGGGATGCCCACAGGACTAGCAAGCAATTCTAGGCCTGTCCAGAGCTGGAGCCTGGGGCAGGGATCACCTCTGCCACCTGTGAGGCTTGCAACTCTAGCAAGCAGTTTTGGGCCCACCCCGCTCTGTGAGGGCAAAGAGACCCACTCAGCAAATGGGTTAGTCTGGGAAGGTTAATACCTCCTTCCCCACCTTACACCCAGTCACTTGTAATCCCCCAGGTCTGTGGACCTATTCACTCCAGTAGGCCACTGCTCCCAGGGTTTACGACTGGCAAAATCAGCCAGGAATCTGAGTTCGGTAGGGGGGCCTTGTTAGGCTTCTGTCCAGTTAGGTTTCTCTGCAAGTCCTTGCATCAGCTCTGGGCAGCAGACAAATAGCAATTTACACTCAGGTGTCAATTCTAGCCTCTGCCCGCCCACTGCCTTTGTCTGAGGGGGATTACACCCTGAGGGTTGGTGCTTTACTTATGAAAGTTCTCTGCAGTTTGCCTGCGGCTGCTGTCTCAAACTTCTGCTTGTTCTTCTCACTTCTGTGCCACAGTCAGCACAGAACAGCACCAGCCCTTTACCTCTCCACTTCTCTCGAGGTGATGCCCAAGAATCTGGACTCCAAACCTCCAAACCTCAAATTGAGTGGGTGGGGACTCCTTGGAGTTCAATGTTGCAGGTGGGGAATATATACAGTTTTATATAGTTCACACTTTCCCTCAACCATACATCTGGGGTGCCCCTTTGAATAGTCCTTGGGTGGTCTGCCAGGTTTAAGGGGTCCAAATCAGTTGTCCTAGTCAGCACCCATTTCAGGTGGAAGAGTTCAAATGTCTCTGGGAGCTAGATAAGAGGGGTCTGCTTGCAGCTCAGATATAACTTGCTCCAGTGCTCCGTGAGGGTGAAGGGACCCACTCAGCAAATGGGTTAGTCTGGGAAGGTTAATACCTCCTTCCCCACCTTGCACCCAGTCACTCGTAATCCCCCAGGTCTGTGGCCCTATTCACTCCAGTAGGCCACTGCTCCCAGGGTTTAACTGGCAAAATCAGCCAGAAATCTGAGTTCGGCAGGGGGGCCTTGTGTTTTTTAAATTAGGCTTCTGTCCAGCTAGATTTCTCTGCAAGTCCTTGCATTCAGCTCTGGGCAGCAGACAAATAGCAATTTACACACAGGCGTCAATTCTCTGCCTGCCCACTGCCTTTGTCTGAGGGGGATTAAACCCTGAGCGTTGGTGCTTTACTTATGAAAGTTCTCTGCGTTTTACCTGTGGCTGCTGCCCCAAACCTCTGTTTGCACAGAGATGGTGCTGGAATGGCGTTAGTTTGCAGCTCAGGATGCCACTTTTGCTGTATTGGCATCCCCCGAGCCGACCTTCCTCTCCTCATGCCTGTACCACAGTCAGCACAGAACAGCACCAGCCCTTTCCCCCTCCAATTCTCTCAAGGAAATGCCCAAGAATCTGGATTCCATAGGTAACAAACCTCCAGACCTCGGAGTGAGTGGGTGGGGACTCCTTGGAATTCAATGTTGCAGGTGTGGAATATATACAGTTTTATACAGTTTTACAGTTTTATGCCTGGCTGGAGGGTGCCATGGCACACCAGGGGGGGGTAGGAGGTCCAGTTTTTAGAGGGTCTGTCTGGTGGGATAGAGTGGGAAGAAGTTTGAACTCTGCTCACTTGTTTGCATGGAGTAAACTGCCAGCCCTTGTGGGGGAGGGGACTCCCGTCTGCTTGGTGGTGGATTTTGTACCTTTTGGTTGTACTTTTGAGGTCGCAGCTCACCTCAGGAAGGTTGAAGTGCACTCTTGGCTCTGCTCCAAACCATCAGCTAACTTGCTAAACTTCTGTCCTTTAAGCCTCCTTCTGGACAAGAGCTTCTGTAAAAAGCTGGCTGCAGTCCACCATCTTGGCTCCACCCCCCCATCCCCCCGTGTAGTTTTCACAGTGTGGCTATGGCAGTGGTTTTCACCTATTGTTATAGTCATTTTAAGCTGCCTGCTGGATATTTGCCTGACTTTTGTTGATACCTCCAACTTAACCTGATCAAACAAAGTATCTACTGACTTTCCTAATTCCCTTTTATTGTTTATCTTGCTTCCTCCTCCTGCTTATGCAGCTAGTCATTCCATTTTAATCCTTCCTTTGTAATTTCTCTCACATTCACTTTCTTTTCACTTTTATGTTGATTCTTTTACTAAGGCTTGATTATCTTGCATTTATACTATCAAAGGGGAAAAAATTGGTCTTCCTTTTCAAAGCATGAAGCCCCCAAGGGTAGGCAGAATGTAGGCTAGATGGATAGAGAAACAGTTTTCCTTCATGTGGACAGAGCTCAGGCAAAGTAGGGTCAGAATAGGACAGGGGAGCTGTATCTGGTCAGACCTGCAAACCAGGGACAGA